GCCTGATGCAGGGCTCAAGCCCAGGACCCCAAGATCACGAGCCGAAGGCAGACGCCCAACCATCTGAGCCACCCAGGCGCCCCCTACTCTACTTTTCTTATAAGGATGCAGTCATTATATGAGTTATATGAGGCCACCCTAATGGCCTCATTTAACTTAACTACCTCCTTAAAGACTCTATCTCCAAATACACTTACAGTCTGAGGTCCTGAAGGTTAGGACTTCAACATATGAATTTTGGGATGACACAGTTCAGATCGTAACAAGTACCTTCGGAGGTAATAACAGTAGGTCTCCAGTGATAAGGGGAAGGAGCATTATCAGATGCCACAGACAGATTGGTACTGTGGAGACAATTACTTTACAAGAGCTGAAAACTGGTCGAGAGGCAACGAGCCTACCTGGACCTACAGGGAAGAAAGTGTGGGAATCAATCTTCCAACCTCAGTCTCTTCCTTCCCTTGGATCTCCTGGTGATACTCCCCAGTAGCCAAATCTAACTGGAAGCCAGAGTATAGGGGCGTCTGTTGATGTAGTCAACACTAGTCATCTTCCCAGGACACACAGCAGGCTGGAAAAGGGTGGAAGGGGATCTGGAGGGGCAAATGAAAGACCTAAGGCACCGTCAGTACCCCTGCTTTCGTGTGTGCTTCGTATCCTCTCTGTTTGCCTATAAAGAGGAAAAACCTACACTATTTGGCAAGAGGAACGGAGGCATATTCAGAAAGGTGTGTGCAGTTGGGGAGGGGATCTAGGATTCTGCTTCTGATATGGAATTCAAGGAATTATTTTAACCACTCCTTTTGACCCTTACTTTGGGATGTTTCTGGTACCTACGCCTGACTGAACCTATTTGAGGACTTTTGTAGTGTAAATTGGATTTACTTTTGGCTATCTCCAAGACCCGCTGAGGATTTTGTTTCCTAAGTTTTTACTACTCACCCATTTATTTTTAAAAATTTTTTATTTAAATTCCTGTTAGCTAACATACAGCGTAATACTAGTTTCTGGTGCACAATGTAGTGATTCAACATTTTGGTACATCACCTGGTGCTCATCACAGCAAGTGCACTCCTTAATCTCCATCACCTATTTCACCCATCCCCCACCCACCTCCTTTCTGCTAATCATCTGTGTGTTCTCTATAGTTAAGAGTCTGTTTCTTGGTCTCTTCATCTCCCTTTCCCCTTTGCTTGTTTGTTTTGTTTCTTAAATTCCACATATGAGTGAAATCATATGGTATTTGTCTTTGAGTTATTTCGCTTAGCATAATACTCTCCAGTTCTATCCACATCATTGCAAATGCCAAAATCTCATTCTTTTTTATGGCTGAATCATGTTCCTCTCTCTCTCTCTCTCTCTATATATATATATATATATAAATCTAAATGAAATATAAGTAACATACCTGTTAGAATTAAAAGCAACAGGGGGTGCCTGAGTGGCTCAGTCAGTTGCGTGTCTGCCTTCGGCTCAAGTCATGATCCCTACCTGGGATCGAGCCCCTCATCTGGCTCCCTGCTCAGCGAGGAGTCTGCTCCCTCTCTCTCCTTGCTGCTCCCCCTGCTTGTACTCTCTCTCTCTGTCTCAAATAAATAAAATCTTTTAAAAATAAAAATAAAATATAAAGAATTGAAAGCAACAATCATAAGGATACCCACTGGGCTTGAGAAAAGAATAAAAGACATCAGTGTGATTCTTACTGTAGAGAAAAGTTAAAAAAGAATCAAAGATGAAGAGTGCCATACGAGATTAGAAACATCATTCTAGAAGGCTGGGTAATGGTCCTCTCTCATATATATATATAGAGAGAGAGAGAGAGAGAGGAATATCACCACATCTTTCTTCATTCATCAATCAGTGGACACTTGGGCTGTTTTCATAATTTGGATATTGTAAATAATGCTGCCATAAACATAGGGGTGCAATAGCCCTTTGAATTAGTATTTTTGTATTCTTTGGGTAAATACCTAATAGTGCAATTGCTGAATCATAGGATAGTTCTATTTTTTTTTTAAAGATTTTATTTATTTATTTGAGAGAGAGAGAATGAGAGAGAGCACATGAGAGGGGGGAGGGTCAGAGGGAGAAGCAGACTCCCTGCTGAGCAGGGAGCCCGATGCGGGACTCGATCTCGGGACTCCAGGATCATGACCTGAGCCAAAGGCAGTCGCTTAACCAACTGAGCCACCCAGGCGCCCAGGATAGTTCTATTTCTAATGTTTTGAGGAACCTCTATACTGTTCTTCAGAGTGGTTGTACCAGATTGCATTCCCACCAACAGTGTAAGAGGGTTCCCCTTTCTCCACATCCTCACCAACACCTGTTGTTTTTTGTGTTGTTGATTTTAGCCATTCTGGCAGGTGTGAGATGGTATCTCATTGTAGTTTTGATTTGTATTTCCCTGATGATGAGTGATGTTGAGCATCTTTTTATGTCTGTTGGCCATCTGGATGTCTTCTTTGGAAAAATGTCTATTCAGGTCTTCTGCCCATTTTTAATGTGGATTATTTGTTTTTTGGGTATTCAGTTGTATCAGTTCTTTATATATTTTGAATACTAACCCTTTATTGGATATGTCATTTGCAAATATCTTTTCCCATTTGGTAGGTTGCCTTTTAGTTTTGTTGATTGGTTTCTTCACTGTGCAGGTTTTATTTTGATGTAGTCCCATTAGTTTATTACTGTTTTTGTTTCCCTTGCCTTTGGAGGCATATCTGGAAAGAGGAAAGGGGATACTGCTTGTGTTCTCTTCTAGGATTTGTATAGTTTCAGGTCTCACAGTTAGGTCTTTATTCCATTTTGAATTCATTTTTGTCTATGGTGTAAGAAAGTGGTCCAGTTTCATTCTTTTGCATGGTGCTGTCCAGATTTCCCAACACCATTTATTGAAGAGGCTTTTTCCCACTGGCTATACTTTCCTGCCTTGTTAGAGATTAATTGACCATATAGTTGTGGGTTCATTTTTGTGTTTTCTCTTCTGTTCCATTGATCTATGTGTCTATTTTTGTGCCAGTACCAGTACATATTTTGATTGTAACATAACTTGAAGTCCAGAATTGTGATGCCTCCCACTTTGTTTTTCCTTTTCAACATTGCTTTGGCTATATGGGGTCTTTTGTAGTACCATACAAATTTTAAGATTGTTTGTTTTAGCTCAGTGAAAAATGCTTTTAATATTTTGATAGGGATTGTATAAATGGGTAGATTGCTTTGGGTAGTGTAGACATTTTATCAATATTTGTTCTTCCAATCCATGAACATGGAATGTCTTTCCATTTCTTTGTGTCATCTTCAATTTAATCAGTGTTTTATCGTTTTCAGAGTACAGGTCTTTCACCTCTTTGGTTAGGTTTATTACTAGGTATCTTATTGTCTTTGGTGCAATTATAAATGAGATTGATTTCTTAATTTTTCTTTCTGTTGCTTCATTATTGGTGTATAGAAATCACCTGGGTGGCTCAGTCAGTTAACCGTCTGCCTTCAGCTCAGGTCATGATCCCGGGGTCCTGGGATTGAGCCCCACGTCTGGCTCCCTGCTCAGTGGGGAGCCTGCTTTTCCCTCTCCCTCTGCCACTGCCCCTGCTTGTGCTCTCTCTCAAATAAATAAAATCTTTCAAAAAAAAAAAAAAGATTCATTTTTATTGCTTTTATATTTCCTGCCTTTATACTGTCATTTTTGGTCTCTCCTTTCCAATCAAAAAGTACCCTTTAATATTTCTTGCATGGCTGTTTTAGTGGCCACAAACTCCTTTAGTTTTTGTTTGTCTGGAAACTATCTCTCATTGTATTCTGAATGATAGCCTTGCTAGATAGAGTATTCTTGGCTGCAGATTTTTTCCATTCAGCACTTGGAATATATCACACCACTCCCTTCTGGCTTGCCAAGTTTTTGTTGAAAAACCTCTTGTTAGCCTTATGGGTTTTTCCTTGTAAGTTAATGACTTTTTTTGTTGCTTTTAAGATTTTTTTGCTAATTACAATATTTCTTGGTGTGGGCCTCCTTTTGTTGATTTTGATGGGAGTTCTCTTTGCCTCCTAGATCTGGATGTCTGTTTCCTTCTCCAGATTAAGGAATTTTTCAGCTATTATTTCTTCAAATATATTTTCTGCCCCCTTTTCTCTTTTTCTTCTGGGGATCCTATAATGCAAATATTATTACATTTGGTGGAGTCACTGAGTTCCCCAACTCTATTCTCATTTGCATGATTCTCTCTCTTTTGTTCAGCTTCATTGCTTTCCACTGCTTTGTCTCCTAGGTCATTAATTCATTCCTTTGCTTCTTCCAGCCTTCTAGAACGATGTTTCTTTTTTTTTTTTTTTAAAGATTTATTTATTTGAGAGAGAGAATGAGACAGACAGCATGAGAGAGGGGAGGGTCAGAGGGAGAAGCAGACTCCCTGCTGAGCAGGGAGCCCGATGCGGGACTCGATCCCGGGACTCCAGGATTATGACCTGAGCCGAAGGCAGTCACGTAACCAATTGAGCCACCCAGGCGCCCCTAGAACGATGTTTCTAATCTCATTTATGGCACTCTTCATCTCTGATTCTTTTTTAACTTTTCTCTACAGTAAGGATCACACTGATCTTTTATTATTTTCTCAAGCCCAGTGGATATCCTTATGATTGTTGCTTTATTTTTTATTTTTATTTTTAAAGATTTTATTTATCTATTTATTTGAGAGAGAGAGAGAGAAACAGCATGAGAGAGGAGAGGGTCAGAGGGAGAAACAGGCTCCCCGCTGAGCCGGGAGCGCGATGTGGGACTCGATACCAGGACTCCGGGACCATGACCTGAGCCAAAGGCAGTTGTTTAACCAACTGAGCCACCTAGGCGCCCGTTTATTTTTATTTTTAAAAGATTTTATTTGGGCGCTTGGGTGGCTCAGTCGTTGGGCATCTGCCTTCGGCTCAGGTCATGATCCCAGGGTCCTGGGATCGAGCCCCACATTGGGCTCCCTACTCGGCGGGGGCCTGCTTCTCCCTCTCCCACTCCCCCTGCTTGTGTTCCCTCTCTAGCTATCTCTCTCTCTGTCAAATAAATAAATAAAATCTTTAAAAAAAAAAAGGTCCTTTGATGAACAAGAAACTATGCTGAGGTCACTTATCTGATGGTAAAGATTTTAAAAAAGAATCCCCCATTTCTTCCTTAATCTGATACAGTGTACTTACAAGCCATCTAGAGGACAGGTCCGTATAAAAAGCTATTTGCAGGGGTGCCTGGGTGGCTCAGTCGGTTAAGCGTCTGCCTTCAGCTCAGTCATGATCTCGGGGTCCTGGGATCGAGCTCCATGTCTGGCTCCCTGCTCTAGCCCCTCCCCCTGCTCATGCTCTCTCTCTCTCTCTCTCTCTCTCAAATAAATAAAATCTTTAAAAATAAAAAAATAAAAAAGCTTATTTGCAGGCTGAAAATAACAGTATCCATACTAATGGTAATAAAACAGTCATAGTTGCAGTTAATGATGTTAAGATAAGCACGTGGTAGACACTAAATTAAATACTATATATATATATAAAATAGTACACACAACCACCCTTGAAGGATATATTATTATCCTCCTTTTCATATCAGGAAATGTATCTGGTTATGATAAGTAATGTTTCCAAAATCACACACCCAGCAAGTAGGAAAGCTAGGAATTAAACCTAGTCTTGTGTCAATCTAAAGCCCATCTCTTTTCTCTTTATCACCCACCTATGATTTGTCCTCATTAAAGGAAAAGTCTATTCAATTAAAGTTATCTTTCATCCTTCTATCCTTGCCAATGAAAACAAAAATATATATATATACTGAACATGAAAAAGGATGATGAGCCCATATTATCTGGTAAGAGTAATTAATAATCACTTAGGGATCATCTAACATCAGTATTCTTCAAAAACAAAAAGCAATTTAAAGCAAAGAGTCATCCAAAAGACAAAGCAACTCCTATTTATGTTTAATATTCATCTTTTAAGGAAAATATATATGAAGTAGAAGTTTCAAAAATATTATAAAAGGGTGAAGAAGTCCAATATTGCATCATAAAGTAAAATAAAAGTTAGGAGTCCACACATTATAAAACTAATATGAAACCCCTTTAGCTAATATAAAAGCATATGGCAAAAAACAAAAAAAGACTGCAAATGACATCAGTCAATAATATGAAGGAATATAAATTCTACCATATACTGTTCTTCATGTTGCCCCGTCAGAATAATTGCTTTCTGCCTAACTGATGACATGTTGACATTTTTCACTATATAATTATAAATTAATCCTCTTCGTATTAAGTTAATCTTTCTGACTTGAGTAACTGTGCCACTCTAGAACAATATAAGGGGTTTTTTTTTATTCTTATGTTAATCCCCATACATTACATCATTAGTTTTAGATGAAGTGTTCCATGATTCATTGTTTGTGCATAACACCCAGTGCTCCATACAGAATGTGCCCTCCTCAATACCCACCACCAGGCTAACCCATCCTCCCACCCATAGAACAATATAAGGTTTAAAAAAAAACCCAAAACTACTGTACCTTTGCAACTTATCAATTGCATGTACATTTGCTTCTTTTTCTATTAAAAATTCCACCATTTGCTGTTTGTTCTCACTTACAGCAAGTAGAAATGGTGTGAGTTCATCCTGTAAAAGTGCAAAAACAATTTATAATTTACGAAATTACATATTTCCATACTGAATTTTAAAACTTATAAAGGATCCTCTAAACTCAAATATGTAATATACAAAGTACTCTCACCCTTCTGTGCTTTCACCAGCTTCTCCTTCTCTTTCAAATAGCCCTCCTCAGGGGGCCTGGGTGGCTCAGTCGGTTAAGCATCTGCCTTGGGCTCAGGTCAGCTCAGGTCGTGATCCCAAGGTCCTGGGATCCAGCCCCAAGTCAGGCTCCCTGCTCAGAGGGAGTTGGCCTCTCCCTCTGCCCCGCCCCTATGCTCCTACTCTCTCGCCCACTCTCTCTCTCTCTCAAATAAATAAATAAAATCTTTTTTAAAAAATAAAATAAATAAAACTAAATTAAATAGCCCTCTTCCACTTCTTCAACAGATTAACTGCAGTCATTCTCCAAAACTCACTTCATTGGCTGGTTCCAAGAATCTTGGCTTCTATCACAGTATTTATTATGGTATACTCTAGTTATTTTATTGCACCCCCTCTAAACCAAGAGCTTCTTGAGGAAAGGGATTATTTTTTTTCTCTATATCTCCAAAATCTAAAACATAGCAGTAAATGCTTTAAGTATTTTTATTGAGTTAACAACCTAAATGATTATCTCTGGAGTAGTGATTTTTAAATTACATTCCGAAGAACATATACTTTGCTGGAAGGTAAGTACTGTGCCCCAATAGAAAGATTCAATGATCATCTATGTCTGAGAAATATTACAAAACTGCACTATATATCTAGCACAAAAGAAATCCGTTTAAATTTGCTTATCCCCATTTGACAATACTTTTTGTGGCAAACATTAACATTTGAGAAATTAGAGTTTTGGGGATATAGTTTTGAGAGCTTTCCAATAAAAATGAAGATTTTCGGGGTGCCTGGGTGGCTCAGTCGTTAAGCCTTCAGCTCAGGCCATGATCCCAGGGTCCTGGGATCGAGCCCCACATCCTGCTCGGCGGAAGCCTGCTTCTCCCTCTCCCGCTCCCCCTGCTTGTGTTCCCTCTCTCGCCGTCTCTCCGTCAAATAAATAAATAAAATCATTAAAAAAAAAAAAATGAAGGTTTTCTCCAGGTTACACAAACATGCTTGATTCTCTTCTGTCAAGGGTATCAGGATCCCAGATGGCAACATAAGGCACTCTTGATCCAAATGGGTCACTGAGGAGATGGACTCGGAATTAAAAGAGTGGCTTTGGGGCAACTGGGTGGCTCAGTCAGTTAAGCGTCTGTCTTTGGCTCAGGTCATGACCCCCGGGGTCCTGGGATCCACCCCTGCATCAGGCTCCCCTGTTTCTCCCTCTCCCTCTGCCCTTCCTCCATACTCATGTTTGTTCTCCGTCTCTCTCAAGTAAATAAAATCTTAAAAACAAAAAAAAGTATCATTAAAGTGAAATCTTAGACAATTAAGTTATTTCAAAATATTTTCATTCAGGGAATGCAGGAGCTTCCAAATATGAAAAACTGACCCTACCTATGTCAACCAACAGTGTTTCTGTAAGGGCAGTGGTAGAAATAATGCATGTCACAGAAACAGAAGGTGGACTGGTGCGCGTGGTCATCAACTACTCCCCATGTACAGCTACCACCCCACTGAGGAACTACACAAGGCTGAGCAGGAACTACTCTCTGAAATGGGAGACCCCAATGTGGTACGTGGAGGGAAGAGTGGCTACAAGCACAAGTAAATGCCCCTGTAGGATGTCATGACCTGATCCCTTTGCTCTCATTTTCAGAACCTTGGGGCCTCGAGTGCCCAGGGCCTGCAACCTGCTGCTTTCTCCTCCCACTTGCACTCACCCAAGTTACCCCACTGGGTCAGGGTCTCCCACCCATTCCCAGCAGCACCCATTTCCTAAGCCCCTGCACAGCACCCAGCCTCCACCACCTCCACTCCCCTCTAGGCCTTCAATCCTTTGTGGGCTCTGAGCCCACCATCCACTCCCAAGCACTAATGGGAAGATTTTCTTTCTGGGGTGGAAGTGGGGCTGGGAGACAGAACTTCGCCCTCTCCATGGGCATCACCTTTCTCTAGCCCTCCCTGCCCTGGCTTTGGAGTTGTTTCCAGGATGACAGGACCTGATGTATAGAATTCAGTATATGTATTTATTACACATATAAATAAATATGTAAATAAAATGATTTGTGGCTAAAAAAATTTATGTATACATATATATATTATTTCAAATACTCTATAAATACACTTGATCTGCACCTTGTGTCTCACTTCAATATTTGTATGGTGTAGAAGCAGCTTCTCTGCTATTGATGTATTCGAACCAAGGGCAGCATAGTGGAGAGCAGTATTGCCAGCAATGTCCATAAGATTTGGATCAGCACCGTGTTCTAGAAGAATAGTCACACATCTCTCATCCTGACATTGTACAGCCTGTCAGTATTATACCAAGAAACAGTGTCAATTCTGGGAATTTAAAGTAAACATGCCACAGGTTTCACCAATTAGTTATGTTTAAATGCAATAAGTTTTCATTCTAAGTAATTAAATCAAATCCATCTCAGGCAGACACAGCTGCTTCCACATACCTTCATCAGAGCAGTCCTAAATCTTTATCAAAGAGGTCAAGCTGGCATTTCCTCTCCACTAGGACAGCAACGACATCTGGATGGCCATTGGCACAGGCCAAATGAAGAGCAGTCCTATGAAAGTGAAAGAACTTTTTAGGAAATTATAGTGCACTATTTCAAAACATGCAGTTAATTCATGTAATTGTAAACGTTAAATAGCATCTTATTCCTATGACTCCAAAACAAAGATTTAGTTTTCTTTTGAAGAAAGTACAAAATTTATTAGTGATTCTTCACCACACTAATAAAGAGCAGCCTATGTGAGTAGGTAGAGCATGACCTGAGGATTCAGCTTAACTTGGGTTTGACTCCTACTTTAACTCTGTCACTTAACAGTTATCACTTACTTAGCCTTATCCTCAATTTCCTCATCAACAAAATGGGGATAAAAATAGTTATCTTGGGGCCCCTGCCCAGCTCAGTTTGAAAATCATGTGACTCTTGATCTTGAGGGTCGTGAATTCGAGCCCCACGTTGGGTATAGAGATTACTAAAAAATAATAATAATAAATAAAGACTAGTTATCTCACAAGATCTTGGCGTGATGCTTAAATGAGGATCTACGCAAAGTTTGTTACATAATATTATTATAACTATTACTATTACTACTATTTTACAAAGACAACATCCAATTAGGTAAGGTGATACAATTATGCCTACTTTGTAGATATGTTTTAAGGATTCGCAAGAATACTACATTTCAGTGATTCTAAGATGCTCATTTTGTCACCTTTTAATATCTCTGACATTGGAATGCAATTTATAATTCAAAATGTCTTACAACTATAATTGGCAGAATTGTTTTGCAATTTCTTATTGGTACAGAAAATACTGGGGCATCAGACAATCTATGGTGCCTTACATTACATGAAATAATGATATACACAACAGGTCTATTGCAGTTCTAATCATATAACTGGCATTTAAATAAATTTTAGTTCCTGAAAGCATTATGGGAAAAGAGGACTAAAATAACGGAGAATGTTTTTTAAGTAATTCTTACTCTGATTTTCAAGAAACTTTAAGCCAAAGGAAACTCAGGATTTAAATAAACAGGGACAGCTCATTTTATTAAATAGTTAGATTTATAAATCACATGAAAATCAAGTACTACCAATTATCAATAGTAGTATTTAATACTATTATAAATTTCAAAAGGACAAGTAAAGGTTAACTTTTACAATTTCCTATCTTCAGAAATGTTTTTGTTTGAAAGGAAAGAGGAAAAGCTTTAACTGAGATTAAGTCCTAATACTTCAATTTAAAATTGCTCATCTCAGGGGCACTTCGGTGGCTAGTTGGTTGGGTGTCCGACTCTTGGTTTTGGCTCAGGTCATGATCTCCAGATCTTGAGATGGAGCCCCATGTCAGGCTCCGTGCTCGGCATGGAGTCAGCTTGAGATCCTCTCTCTCCCTCTAACCCTCCCTTCTCCCTCCCCAGCCACTCCCATTCACTCTCTCTCTCTCTCAAATAAATCAATCTTTTCTTAAAATTAAAAAAATAAAATAAAATTTCTCATCTTAGTAGTACCTGGCCGGTTTAATCAGTAGAACATGCAACCTTAGTCTCAATGATATAAATTCAAGCCCCATGTTGGGTATAGAGATTACTTAAAAATAAAATCTTTTAAATAAATAAATAAATAAATAGAATTTCTCATCTTACTAATACTGGACAACATGAAGTCTTTAAGAATGAAAAGATTCTGGATAGAGTATGTCTCCTACATTACATGTGTTCAGATTCTATTTGATAAATAAATGGATTGAGGGCGCCTGGGTGGCTCAGTTGGTTAAGCGACTGCCTTGGGCTCAGGTCATGATCCTGGAGTCCCGGGATCGAGTCCCGCATCGGGCTCCCCGCTCGGCAGGGAGTCTGCTTCTCCCTCTGACCCTGCTCTCTGTCTCTCATTCTCTCTGTCTTAAATAAATAAATAAAATCTTTTAAAAAAATAAATAAATAAATAAATAAATGGATTGAAAGAGTAGATAAATACAGTGGGAGAGCTCAATATTTTTTAAAGATTTATTTCTTTTAGAGAAAAAGAGAGAGTATGCGCAAGCGGGGGGAAGGGCAGAGGGAGAGGGAGAGAATCTCAAGCAGTCTCCCCACCAAGCATGGAGCCCGACATGGGGCTCCACCCCCCAACCCCGAGATCACGACCCACGCCGAATTCAACACTCTGATGCTCAAACGATTATGCCACCCAGGCACCCCAGAGTTCAGTATTTTTAAAGAAAACTTTTATAAAGTAAAGCAATACATCTGAAATTGCAACAATCATTTATATTTCCTATTTTTGATTTTTTTCATAAGGACACAACTAAAATTTTATATACTTTTACAGTATCATTTATATTATTTATTTTCGTAAGGATGTAACTAAAATAAAATGATTAATCTATAATCACCTATATGTAATAAAGCTACACACAACAAAAAAATGTATATATTTAATGTATGAATAAAATCGACAAGTACAGGTAAAAACATTCCCTTTACTTCTGAAGAGGTTAAACGTTGTCAGAAGATACCAATCCCCACCCGCAGTCCCCAATTTTTTTTAAATAGAAAGTAAGAGGGGCACCTGGGTGGCTCAGTCAGTTAAGTGCTTGCCTTCATCTCAGGTCATGTTCCCAGGGTCCTGAGATCGAGCCCTGCATCGGGCTCCCTGCCCAGCAGGGAGCCTGCTTCTCCCTCTCCCACTCCCCCTGCTTGTGTTCCCTCTCTCGCTGTCTCTCTCTCTCTCTGTCAAATAAATAAATAAATAAAATCTTAAAAAAAACAAAAACAAAACCCTGTCTGTAAAGTGGTCTACCCGGGGAATTATGAGTGGGTCCAAAGGCAGCTGAAGCTTTCGTTTTCGTGCTCCGACAGCCGGCCTGGGCGCTACACCCCTGCTGGGGGCCTCAGGAGGGAAGACCGCAAAGCGCCCTCGGTGACAGGGGGGCTCCGCTCCACAGGCGGAGCCCGGGAAGGTGCGCGCTTCTCCCGGTCCGCCCCACCTCCTCCCCGCCGTCTCCGGCAGCCGGCCTCCAAGTCCCTATTACCTGTTCATCTGGTCTCTTTCGTCCACGCCGTGTTTCCCGGAAAGTAGAATCTCCTGCAGTTTCCTTACGTTGCCCATGCTGGCAACTTTGTGGATCTTTCTGAGATCTTTGTCTCGGATGTTGTACCCCCACCCGAAGCTGCTGGTTCCAATTCTCCTCTCACGCAGGATGCCCGGGCCGTCCCTCAGCGAGCTGGTAACGCGAAAGGACGACCCGCCCTTCTTACTCCCGAAGCTAAAAAACTTCTTCACCGCAAAGCCTGGAGGCTTCACAAACACTTCCCCTTCCCCTCCGCTTTTCACCGCCTCTAGAGCCCAACACTAGCGCTAGAGATAAGCCAAACCCGCCTCGCCACTACATCACAGTAGCGAAATTCCGAGGTCTGGAATCTTTGAGCGCAGCATAATGTAACCAAGCAACGATGCCAAACACAGATGCGCTTGCGCGCCTCACAAACCGGCGTCGCTGGGCCTGCGCGCAGAGGGCGGGCGGCCAAGGGTGCCCAAAGCGCATGTGCGAGGTCCAAGTCTCTCAAATCTCAGCGATCGCTTGTGAGCCGGCTGGGTTCCCCTTCAAACATTGGCGAGAGTTGGCTGAGCGTTTCTGAACCTTTGCAGAAGTTAGACTCGCCGGTGGGGAAAGGCACTCTTCCTATACTACTGGGGCTAGAGAGCATGAAACTTCAGGATGTTGAATGCCTCGTTCCCCAGAAAACTTCCCTAAAAAAAGCTCTCCCGCAGTTTATTCCTCTTCCATATCCCTCTGGGCCCCAGCCGGTCTCCATGCAATTGAGCAGATGCAGCTATTAGAAAGCCTTTTTCAGGGGCTCCTGGGTGGCTCAGGTGGTTGGGCTTCTGCCTTCCCCGGGGCATGAAAGAAAGACGTGTTAGCTAGGATATTTGGAGTTGATGAGGAAACTCCAGAGAATTCACTTTAGATGGCTTGAGTGTATTTGCACTAAAACAGATTAAATTACAGCTGCTCCACAAAGAATACTGAAAGCAGATGGAGTGCTAAACTTGGGCTAAAACAGCCACTCTTTCATCCTCCTCAGATCTATGGGACATCAAAGATCTCTCTTGTATTGGTATTCATTATTCAAATGAGATTAATTTGAATATCGAAGCTTTGGCTGTTTTTTTTTTTAAGATAGCTAATTTTTTTATATGACAGCTGTTTCAAAAAAACCTTTTAAAGACTAACATGATCTACCAAATCAAACTAATTTTGGAAACAAAAGAGATTATAGGGTTCATTCCCTAAATGCTACAATTGTTATTATCAGTAAGTATGACACTGAATACGTATATTCGTATTTCTTTTTCAATATTTATACTGGGTTCATATTTCTCTCTTGTCGCTGTCCTAACCCACCTTCCTATCTCCAGAAACAGAACACCAAAACCTAATGTAATCATTTTCAGAGCCAAGCATGAGGATTCAGCTTAGTACTAACTGCGTGAATGTTTAGTTGCCTTTCACGTTTACATATAATTAACTATATGTCCATTTTGCTTTTTAGATTCTCCGAAAAGATATCCTTATGTGAAGGTAAAACTTTTATATTTTTATTTTGAATTTTTAACTACCGATTGTATGAAAGGAACATCATTTCTTAATCATATTGTTTCAATACCCATTCAGCCTACCGTTGAAGTGAAAGATTCTGTTCCTAAGAAAACAGTAGAAGTCAAGGACAAACAAACATCCAACTCAGGTAAATTTTACAATACAAATTTCACAGTGGAAAGAAGTACACTAAAATATTTAAAATGCTCACAGTTTTCTTATTCTGAATTCTTTTTTTTTTTTTTGGTGGCAAATTTAACTGAAGGATTTGACATAAACAAGGTAGATACCATTGTTGTTACCCAAAAGATATTTATAAGCATAAGAAAAAGAGATTTTATTTTATTTTATTTGTTAAAGATTTTTTATTTATTCATTTATTTGAGAGAGAGAGAGAGCACATGAGAGGGGGGAGGGTCAGAGGGAGAAGCAGACTCCCTGCCCAGCAGGGAGCCCGATGCAGGACTTGATCCCAGGACTCCAGGATCATGACGTGAGCCGAAGGCAGTCGCTTAACCAACTGAGCCACCCAGGCGCCCAAGAAAAAGAGATTTTAAAAATGTAAGCTTTAGCTCTAGTTTCTACTTTTATGTTTTGAAACCCTGAAGCTCCCAGTTTGGAATCCCATTACTTCCTTGGGATTCCCAGAAGTTAATTATTAGACTCTCAGATTTTTCCAGTGTTCACAATGCTTATTGCAATTCTGACCTTTCCCTAGAGTAAAGCTTCACTTGCTAACATGTCAATTGTGTTTTAAGTTTATTTCATCTTAGTGTTATTATGTTGATCATCTTAAGCCAAACAGATGTTCTGATTAGTGGACTCGTGTGTGTGTGTGTGTTTGTGTGTGTGTGTGTGTGTGTGTATGGTGTCTTGATTACTAAAACTGCAGGAAGTAATTAGTTCTATCCTAATACTTGGTAGACACAATCGTTTAAAACCGTAATTCTGAAACTTATTGGCCTTAGGGTCCTTTTATACTATTTAAAAATTATTAGGAATTCCAAAGAACTTCTGTTTAAGTATTGATATTTACCATATTAGAAATTAAAAAAAGCATTTAAAATACAAGCATACACGATCATACATTGTTAGCCGTTAGAGCTCTGACCCAATCATGCAAGTTGTGATACTATCACGTATCCTATCTTTAGAAAACTTCACCGTACACTTAATAAGAGAATGAGAGTGAAAATGTCAAATAACATTTAGCATTATTGAATGGATGGATCTTGGAACTCCAGGGATTCTCAAATGACATGGGAGAACTGTTTAAAACCATGTACAGGGTTCATGGATACAAAATGATAAAGGGGCCCTTGTGGTGAAATGGGCATTAAGGTTTCATTTCTGCATTTCTTGCTTTTTTCTTTCACTCGTCTTAAGAGGTTTAAATCAGACAATCTTTTTTTTTTTAAAAAAAAAGGAAAGTATTTTTGTTATATATTCATTTTCTGTTTCATGGTGCTGTAGTTTTAGGATCTAGTGTGGACTGAGACTTATTCTGTTTTTACATGGAAATGATTAGATCACCTGAGGCTTTCATTTCTCAGATGAATTTATGATGTTTGTCCAAGGCTTAAAAATTTCTGAAGATAGGGACGCCTGGGTGGCTCAGTCAGTTGAGTGTCTGCCTGTGGCTCAGGTCATGATCCCAGATCCTGGGATCGAGTCCCACATCGGGCTCCTTGCTCAGTGAGAAGTCTGCTTTTCCTTCTCCTCTGTTGCTCCCCCTGCTTGTGTGCTCTCTCTCTCTGACAAATAAATAAATAAAATGTTTAAAAAAATAAAATAAAATTTCTGAAGATATTGTTGCATTGAGGAAAGACCATCTCACTGTAATTAAAAGTAGTATCATTCATTAAAAGTTCTTTTAAAACACATGTCTTTAGAACACACAGTGCAGGGCACCTGGGTGGCTCAGTTGGTTAAGCGACTGCCTTCGGCTCAGGTCATGATCCTGGAGTCCCAGGATCGAGTCCCGCATCGAGCTCCCTGCTCAGCAGGGAGTCTGCCTCTCTCTCTGACCCTCCCCCCTCTCATGCTCTCTATCTCATTCTCTCTCTCAAATAAATAAATAAAATCTTAAAAAAAAAAAAAAAAAAGAACACACAGTGCATTTTTTTTTTTAAAGATTTTATTTATTTATTTGACAGAGAGATAGAGAGAAAGCACAAGTAGGCAGAGAGGCAGGCAGAGGGCGAGGGTTATTATTAGACTCTCTTTTGTGGGTTTGTGCCACTCTAATGAGCCTTGTCAAAGATCCAGGGATTTCAGAGTTGATGATAAATGCCCATGTGTATCACAATCGGTGACCAAAAATCAGTCAGCATCCACAGAATTTGGACAGACGACCTTCATATAGAAAGAAAAGATTAATAATATTGGAGTTGTGTTTCTGTTAGAGAATTATAAACTCCCTGACCTGTGTAAATCACAGCTACCAGAAAGCAGCACAAACAAGGTAATAAAGAAGCACAGAGAATTCAGTCTCTCCATGACTTCCCCATAGTTCTGATTTTTCAAAAATAATTTTGTGGCGGCGGCCGCTCCGGACGCGAGGGGCGGGTCGTGCGCGGGACAAAGGGAAACGAGGCCCGAGCTGCGGTTGCTTTTTCTGCCCGCGGTGTCTCAGATTCATTCTTAAGGAACTGAGAACTTAATCTTCCAAAATGTCAAAAAGACCATCTTATGCCCCACCTCCCACCCCAGCTCCTGCAACACAAATGCCCAGCACACCAGGGTTTGTGGGATACAATCCATACAGTCACCTCGCCTACAGCAACTACGGGCTGGGAGGGAACCCGGGCACCAACAGCCGGGTCTCGGGATTACGATTCCAAAACCCCAAAGCCACCAGATACGCCGCTGATGCCCTACATGAGGTACAGCAGCAAGGTCTGGGACCAAGTAAAAGCTTCCAACCCTGACCTAAAGTTGTGGGAGATTGGCAAGATTATTGGTGGCATGTGGCGAGATCTCACTGACGAAGAAAAACAAGAATATTTAAACGAATACGAAGCAGAAAAGATAGAGTACAATGAACCTATGAAGGCCTATCATAATTCCCCCGCATACCTTGCTTACATAAATGCAAAAAGTCGTGCAGAAGCTGCTTTAGAGGAAGAAAGTCCACAGAGACAGTCTCGCGTGGAGAAAGGAGAACCGTAGATGAGCATTCAGCCTGCTGAAGATCCAGACGATTATGATGATGGCTTCTCAATGAAGCATACAGCCACCGCCCGTTTCCAGGGAAACCACCGCCTCATCAGTGAAATCCTTAGTGAGAGTGTGGTGCCAGACGTCCGTTCAGTTGTCACAACAGCTAGAAGGCAGGTCCTCAACGACAGGTCCAGTCCTTAATGGTTCATCAGCGAAAACTAGAAGCTGAACTTCAAATAGAGGAGCGACACCAGGAAAAGAAGAGGAAATTCCTGGAAAGCACACATTCATTTAACAATGAACTTAAAAGGTTGTGCGGTTTGAAAGTCGAAGTGGACATGGAAAAAATTGCCGCTGATATTGCACAGGCAGAGGAACAGGCTCGAAAACGGCAGGAGGAAAGAGAGAAAGAAGCAGCAGAGCAAGCTGAATGCAGTCAGAGCAGCATGGTTCCTGAGGAAGAGCAAGCTGCTAGTAAGAGCGAGGAGAAGAAGGACGACGAGAGCATCCCGATGGAGACAGAGGAGACACACCTTGAAGAAGCAACGGAAAGCCAACAGAATGGTGAAGAAGGCACATCTACTCCTGAGGACAAGGAGAGCGGGCAGGAGGGGGTGGACAGTATGGCTGAGGAGGGGACCAGTGACAGTAACACTGGCTCAGAGAGCAACAGTGCCACAGTGGAGGAGCCACCCGCAGACCCCCGCGCCGGAAGACGAGAAGAAAGAATAAATGTTGCCTTGTTTTATGTGTTCTAAATACATTTTTAAATGAAAAAAAAAAGATATTTTTTTGAGTTTAAAAAAAATAATAATTTTGTGGCAAAAATTACTTTGTGTTTACTCCTTTTATGCAACCTACAACCAAACAATATCTTTTAGCAAGACATTTGTCTTCTTCTTCTAACCAAAGGAACATCTGAATAAGAATTATGAGAAAGTAATTTCCTTTGGGCTAGTTTTTAGCATTCACTTGAGAGTAGGTAGCAGGATTATACTGAGAACTTTGGGACCAGTTGGGAATACTAGGTAGAGATCTAAAGATTGCTTACTCAAAACATAGTTTCTTAGCTTTATTTTATAGCTCTAAATTCACAAGTATTGGTCAAGCTATATTCATTGTAACTAAAAAAAGCACCTTCCCAAATCAAATATTGAAATATTTCCTATGTTCTGTATGTTCTGTATGACTTTTGTTTTAGAGTTGGCTTTCCCAGCAGTAATGGGAATAGTTGAGAATTTACTATATAGTATCATCTCAGCTATGTATGCATAGTCCATCTCCTTGTTTTATTATATTTATTTTATCTTTTTAGAGAGAGAGACATGGGGGGAGAGAGGGAGAGAGAGAGAGAGAATCCCAAACAGGCTTCACGCTCAGCACAGGGCCTGATGGGGGGGCTCAATCTCATGACCCTGAGATCATGACGTGAGCCTAAATCAAAAGTTTTCTATGCCTCTTTAATATTATTGTTATTTAAAATTTTTATTGATTTGAGAGAGAGGGAAATTGAGAGAACGAGTGGGAGGAGTGGCAGAGGGAGAAGCAGACTCCCAGCTGAGCAGGGAGCCCGATGCGGGACTTGATCCCAGGACCGTGGGATCATGACCTGAGCCGAAGGCAGCCGTTTAACTGACTGAGCCACCCAGGCACCTCCCTTTGTTATTTTTAATAAATAAATGGAATATGGGTTTTAAGGAGCACTATATTATTTAAAAATAATATATGGAAAGTCCATTTTAATTCTACTAAGATACTCTGTCTATTGATTAACCACATCTAATGTGTCTCTACTTAATGTACCAGTTCATTCCATGCCTTTTATCAGTCATTGATCAGGTCTGTACTAATAAATCGTACAATATTTTTTTCACCCCTGTAGTTTTATGTTCTTTCTTTCCTTGTAGAATTAACACTGTATTTTCAAAAGATTTTCAATTATCTCCTAGAGTAATGCGTACAGGCAATAAATCCAAAGTTATTTACCTATACAAGTGACTTGTTTGCTGTTACTTCTTCATGAGCTTGGTAGATCCAAGAAGTAGGACTTTTAAAATACCTACAGGCTCCTGTAACAAAGGAAGATCTGAAACACAAATTATAAATACAGGCAACTTAAAACAGTTCATGTAGATTGTTTCTCTTCTCACTTGATGCCTTTTATAAAGTAATGAGCAAAGTTAGTCTCTAGGGACCCAAGATTGTGTGTTTATTCATTTAATACAGATTTATTCTGTACTGTGCCCTGATCATTTTATAGCCTCAATATTTCTGGAACCATTCTGTCAGTGCAGGTGTACTTCATCTTTATTTTGCCTTACTGCCTTCTAATTCATCTCCCATCTTTTATTACAGTGCCCCTCAAATTCATCCCTCTCCACACATTTAGAGTGATCTGTCTCAAATGTAAATATGACTATGAACCACTGTTGAAAATATATTTGTGTCCAGGTATCTTAAAATTACATATAAAGCTTTCATAATCTTGACTTCTTCTTAGATCCCTGTATTTTAGACAAATATTTACCCTGTTGTGTGCTTCTCTCCCTTTTAGACAAATATTTACCCTGTTGTGTGCTTCTCTCCCTTTTAGACAAATATTTACCCTGTTGTGTGCTTCTCTCCCTTGTCTTACTACAGCCTTGCATACTCTCCCCGTTTTCCTCCCTCTAACCCCTTTGAATCTGGCTGACCTCACTGTTTTCAGTTTCAGTTCAGGCATTATCTCCAGAAAAACCATTCCTGACACCTTTTATCTACATGCTTCTTTAAACCTGGGTGCCTAGCACTTACGGGGAACTCTATAAATAATTACTGAGTAAAATAAAGACTGTAAACACAGAAATGACGTAAGGGATTGCCCCATACAGGGGCACCTGGTTGGCTCAGTCGGTTGAGTGTCCAACTCTTGATTTCGGCTCCGGTCATGACCTCAGAGTTGTGAGATCGAGCCCCGTGTGGGGCTCAGTGCTGGGCTTGGAGCCCCGTCAAGATTCCCTCTCTCTCTATCTGCTCCTCCCCCTCTCCAAAAAGAGAGGGAGAGTGAGAGAGATTGTCCCATACAGTCCAGGAGCAAAATAAGAAATATATAAAGAAGTAATTTACAGTTCAGGTGGTGAAGATACACTAGAAAAATCGGTAAAGTACTAAGGTAGCCCTGAAGAAAGAGACACCTATTCATCTGGGGAAGAAGAGCCATAATCAAGGGTGACTTTACATAGCAGTCTGTGTCCTAAAAGATGTGAGGAAATTTATCAAGTAGTAGAGGAAAACATTTCAGGCATGTTTACACTCATCAGGGACATACACCCATAGGAAGGTTGTACACTAATAAAGGCATAAAAAATACTAATAATTTTGGAAGCCATGAATAATGTTGTAGTTGAAGCTTTGGGTATTAAGAGGTGCTGTTACAAGGTAAAGAACAGTCTGTTGTGATTTTATATGTTTCTGCTGCATTATAAAATTTTGTTTCTGATTGTTTTGTTCATTGATGTTAGGTGGATGAACTTGTGAATGAATCTTCGAGATGTTTGTATGTCTTTAACCTGGTGACATTTAGTATTTCCCAAATGGTTTGTTGAAGTTTTCTATAATTAAAAGTATTTCTTAAAGTAAATATTCAGCTAAAGATTAAGTTTAAACTATCAATAGATAAAATGTTATTTTCTATTTTTAAGAAGGTTATAGCTTTTATCTAACCATTCTAAGTAGTCCATTTTAACTAAATATATAGATTTGCCAGCAGAATGAATTAGAAATGACATCAGAGGAAGAGCAAAAAAGACTTGATGAAAGTGAAAATAACCACCTACAGGTATGTAAAAAGTTAAATTTAAATTTCCAATTTTATATTGTTTTTCCTGCTTTAATAATATAACATAGTTCAAATGAAATGATCTTTTGAATGGACATATTGAAGTCAATAGATTATAATTTAAAATTTAGTTTTTATAAAATTTTACAAGTTACAAAACTTAAAATATTGTTTGAATTTCTGTAACTTATAGCTAAACTTCATCCTTGGAATTGAGATAAAAAAAATTCCTGAATATTGTTTGCTTCTTCACATTTTTGTAACTTTTTATGCGATAAAGAAGGTAACATCAAATATTGAATCATATGTTTAAGCAGTTGAAATTATGAGCAGTATAATAATGATGACTAGTGACTTAGATTCGTGTAGAAGGAGTAATTATTCTCAGTGGTTCAAAATGTGCAGTTCTGTATTGCCAGTCACTGATGCCAAGATAAAAGATTTATTTTGCCTTGTGATCTCTGTGTAGTTGACTTCAGAGAGTGGGGTCATAAAATCAGCACAATTGCCTATTGTAGAATCACACCTTCCAGGGTGGGACCTTTGTAGTTGGGTAATAAACAGTAACTTTTTCAGTTATTTCATTTCCGCATAGGAAATCAGTAAGTATTATTAACATTTTTCTTATCCACTCTCAGTGGACATTATATTAGAGCTGTATATAAGCAGATAATTATAGTGATATATAACACTATCATAGTATATAATTTGACTTAAGATTTAGGAATTTTCTTTCTGATTGATGTTAATTGATTTTGATTCCTAATAATTTAAAATTTGCCTATTCACTAGTTATTAATCTTTAAAGAAAACCCTCAAATGCACTGAAGGGGCTCACTATTTAAGGTATGGTGAGATAAAATGCTTTTAAGTTTGTAACATTAAAAATAATCTGATTCATTTTTTGGTAGATGTAACATGTAATGAATTGTTTATTTCAAAAAAAAAACTAACAAAGTTAAGTTTATGGATTTATGTTTTTCTTTTGTCTTAAGCCAGGGCAAGTTATTTGTCACTTCTTTGTTACAATACAGTGACTTGGGAGCAGCTTAACATAGATTAAGAAATTTAACAGTTAAATTTTAATTTTCTAATTTTTCTTTGTCCATACTTGATTACTTAAGGATAAAGGTATTTCACAAACATGTATCCTGGCAGAAAAGACACGTGAAAATCAAACCCAGCAAATTAACGTTCCAGTTTTGCATCTGCAAAAAAAGTCTCGAGAACCAGAAATGAATAAGAAATGTGATAGAAAGGATAATATATCTGTATATTCAGAACATCCTTCTGTGCAAAAGCGTGAGGAAATCTCGATCAAACAAGGCAAATTAGTGTGGAAAAATAATCTAAAACACATCACCAGTGAGTTAAAGCGGACGTTTGGTGAAACTTGTGAAAAACACAAAATTGCTCCTTATCCTAAGGAAGAGTCACCACATGGTAACTTTAAAGAAGGAGCAAACTTAATGGAAATACCTTCTAACTTGACAAATGATAGACTTGATTGTGAGAAAAAGGATATATTTGCAGTGCCTGTCCCTCTAGTAGTTCAGGCATTTCCTGAACAAAAAAATTCTAGTCTCAAATATGCTTGCCAGGCATCTTCTGATTTTTCTTTAAGTGAAAATAAATCAGACTGTGAAAATGATAACAAACCAGACACTGAGCATGTTTTTAACAAAAACAAGAGTTTTAAAAGTGATACAGAAACTAAAAAAGTAAGGAACCTACTCGCTACGTTTGAAGTGAAAGAAGACCAAGGGTTTGACGTGCAAATGGCAAAAAGTATGAACCAAAATAGCACTAATTCTAAATTAGACATTGGACGTATACCTCAGTCTAGTGATTCAGAAAGCCGTTTCGACAAAAGGTTTTCCCGCTCCAATGAGGTGAGACAAATGGCTCAAATAAAAAGGCACCATAGTTCTGCCGTTACAAACATTTACAAGAAAACAAAAGTCTTGTTCCAGAAGCCATTCTGTGCAGTTAATAACAGTACTAATAACTATAGAAGTATGGAACCCGAATTAGAAAATGTGAGTTCTTCTCCACCATGTAGTTACAGAACATCAGAAGTATGTCTAAAAGAAGAATTACAGCAAGATGTTCAAAAGTTTAAGAACGAGATAGGCATGTTACAGATAGACATCCGGGATTTGGAAAAAAAGAAAGTTCAACTTCAAAAAGAGGTAGAGGTTCACTTTGCTGCTGCTCTTTTGTTTTTTCTCTTTATCAATTATCTGAGTCATTCTGATTCTCCACTTAGGAAAAAAGTTCGTGTATAACATGGGGTTGTCTAAATACGTAATTGTGTTCGGAAATAGATTATTTCTGCTGTCTAAATGATAGGAGTGCAGGAAAACATTCTTATGATTGGTTTTCCTTAAGTTTCTCTGTAAGTCTCCCAAGTGGCATATGAACTGGGAAACTAATTTAGCTATGCACCCTGTGACCTCATTAACCAGAGTAACCGTAAAGAAAATTCCTTAAAAAATGCAATTATCGGGGCACCTGGGTGGCTCAGTCGTTAAGCATCTGCCTTCGGCTCAGGTCATGAACCCAGGGTCCTGGGATCAAGCCCCGCATCGGGCTCCCTGCTCAGCGGGAAGCCTGCTTCTCCCTCTCCCACTCCCCCTGCTTGTGTTCCCTCTCTCGCTGTGTCTCTCTCTGTCAAATAAATAAATAAAATCTTGAAAAAAAAAAAACTTAAAAACATGCAATTATCTTGGCACATCTGGGTGGCACAGTTGAGCATCCGACTCTTGGTTTTGGCTTGGGTTGTGATCTCAGGTTCATGAGACTGAGCCCCTCATTGGGCTCTCTACTCAGTGTGGAGTGTGCTTTAGTTTCTCTCTCCTTCTCCCTCTGCCCTTCCTGCTCATGCTCTCTCTCTCTCTCTAAAATAAATAAATCTTTAAAAAATATATAATAATCTCTAGTGTTTTGGGTTTTTTTTTTTAATTTATTTATTTATTTATTTGAGAGAGAGCACACGTGTGTGCACGAGCATGAGCCAGGGGTGAGGCAGAGGGAGAGAGAAAGGGAGAAGCAGACTCTCTGCTGAGCAGGGAGCCTGACATGGGGCTCCATCCCAGGCCCCTGGGATCATGACCTGAGCTGAAGGCGGACGCTTAACCGTTGAGCCATCCAAGTGCCCCATCTCTAGGGTTTTTATTTTTATCTATTGGCTTAAATATAAATTGCATTTCCATAAACAATAAAATGGGAAAGAAGCAATGACTAAGAGAAAGGATATAAACAAATATTTCAGCTAAACCTATTATTGTTTCAGTATGTACAATCTTTTCTGCTTTGTACTCACTCTTGGAACTTAGAATTCCAACAGGACCACTTTGAGATATTTTTAATAACAAATATTTGTATTATCACTGTTTTCCTCCACATTTTTTAAAAACAGACTCTTTTTTAAGATTTATTTATTTATTTAGAGAGCATGAGCAAGGGCAGGGGCAAAGGGAGAGAGAGAGAGGGAGAGAAGTAGACTCCCCACTGAGCATGGAGCCAGATGCGGGGCTCAATCCCACAACCCTGAGATCATGAGCTGAGCCAAAATCAAGAGTCAGAGGCAACTGACTGAGCCATCCAGGCGCCCCCCTCCATTTTTTTTTTTTTTTTTTTGGTCACCATTCTCACATGTTTCTGTTGAGTCAAACGTTCATATTATGTTTAATAAAGTATGGTACATTTTGACATGTATGTTTTTTATAATGTAGGTAGCATAAACCTTCAGAAACCTTCAGTATTTAACTCGAAGGGAGAAAACGGACTTTTGAGGTGAATTGAGTTTTAAAAATAGACAAAAATCTAGAGATATCCTCCTTCAAAAGAAAAAGTAGCTAAGCACCTTGTCCCCAATTAAGATATTAAATTACTGTGCCAGTGTCATACTTTTAATGTATCTGATTAATTTAATGAATTTGATAATTTAGCTGATTTAGCATTAAAGAATTGTATCATCTCATTTGGTGCCATAAGATGCTAGGTAATGCCACTTTAGGAACTTTGGACAAATCATTTAACCTTTTTTGGTTTCACTCCCATTTATCAGTGGAAAATGGGATTAAAGTTGATAATTACTTTTATACCCTCTAGCTATAAAAGTTTATGATAACCATGAATGTGGAATTTGGGGAGCATTACTCATTTCCCAAAATTCTACACTAACATCAGTTTCACTCTGTTCTTTTTGTGTTGTGGTGAACCTTGGTTCATATATTTTAATGAACACTGCCACTTTTTTGATAACCCTAGGATCCAAATGAAAAAAGAATTGTAAAAGGCAGTTGGGGAAAAAATAGCTCAGTGCAGGAAGAGGAAAACTTCTCTTTGTTCCTGGAGCACCACAATGTCACATCCTTTAAATCTGGCTGTTTTTGCAAAATCCAGGTGGTAACGACAGACGAGGACAAATTTTGTGTCTTTGTCTTTTTATTTCTTTGTATCTGCTGGTCAGATGGGGTGGGGTGGGAATGTTAGGTAGCAAAGCGTGGATATGAATACAAAATTAAGAAAGCCCTTTTTCAAATTTTGGAAAATTCTGCTGTTTTAATTAATTATTTTTTAAAGATTTTATTTATCTGTCAGAGAGAGCGAGCGAGCGAGAGAGAGCACAAGCAGGAGGAGCGGCAGGCAGAGGGAGAAGCAGGCTTCCCGCTGAGCAAGGAGCCTGATGCGGGGCTCGATCCCAGGACCCTGGGATGAGACCCGAGCGAAGGCAGACGCTTAACCAACTGAGCCACCCACGTGTCCCAATTCTGCTGTTTTTATTCAAACGGAAATGAAGCAGAACTTATAAAAATTGCAATTATTTATAATGATAAAGTTAAACACAAAATATTTTTATCGATTAAAATTACAACAAACTAAGAGTCAAATGATAAAATTAATGAAAAAAGTTCTGGGATGACTGGGTGGCTCAGTCCTTAAGAGTCTGCCTTCGGCTCAGGTCTGATCCCAGGGTCCTGGGATCGGGTCCCGCATCAGGCTCCCTGCTCAGCGGGGAGCCTGCTTCTCCCTCTGTCTGTACCTCCCTCCCCCTGCTTGTGCTCTCTCTCTGATAAATAAATAAATAAAACCTTTAAGAAATTTATAATTAATGAAAAAAGTTCTTTTTAATGAATAATGTAGTAACAATTATCCTTAGTATCACATTTCCATTAAAGATTAATGAAGAAAAGAAGAGACACCAAAGTAATGAGACGGCAGTATTAGAAAACACATATGCTGTCGCTGCTGCTGCTGCTGGACTCATTCAACAAAGAGAGAGTGGAAAAACTGAAAACCACCTCTTTCCTGTTGGGAAAAAGGAAGATTCTGATGGGTAAGCCTATGGCCATATTGAAATAGTAGGTAATTATTATTTTCCTATAAAACCAGTTCTAGTTGGAGCTAACATTCATGATTAACAAGTTTTATATTTTTAGTAAGGCTAGTCCATCCTGGGTGCGAATCAGAAAAATGCAAATAACGAGACACCATTTTTTGCAGTCCTAGTGATAAATATTTTATTAAAAAAATAATAACCAAAGGTAGCAAATGGGAGGAAAAAGGCATTCCTATACACTGTTGTTAGATGCACGTGGTAACTCCTTTCTGAAGGGTGAGTTAGCAGTGTGTTTCAAAAACTTTAAATATGCTGTCCCTGTTTTAAGTTTATTTTTTAATTTTTTTTAAAGATTTTATTTCTTTACTTGACAGAGAGAGACACAGCGAGAGAGGGAACACGAGCAGGGGGAGTGGGAGAGGGAGAAGCAGGCTTCCCGCCGAGCAGGGAGCCCGATGCGGGGCTTGATCCCAGGGCCCTGGGATCATGACCTGAGCCGAAGGCAGACGCTTAACGACTGAGCCACCCAGGCGCCCCATATGCTGTCCCTTTATTCCAATGCTTCATTGCCAGGACTAGATCCTATAGGAAAACATGACTTGTGTAAACACACACACACACACACACACGCACGAACACATTCTAAGGACATTTATTGTGCATTATTGTATATATAAAATATGACAGATATGTTAAGGATATTTATTATAGCATTCTCATATCAAAAATTTGGAGATAGTCTAAATTGCCGTCAATAAGGAAGTAAGTTGTCACCCCTATGAGACAATGTAACATGCGGCCTTTTGAAAAAATGAGTTTAGGTCTACAGTGTGCTGATTGTTTAACAAAGTATATTTAAGGTGTTCGGTTTGATGTCATGTCTTATGCAAATTTTAGAATGCTTTTAATATCTGCTGAGTTGCAAAAGGAAGTTACCTGCTACACTGGCACTCTATCTTATTACCAACAAAATTGCTAGCTATTAGGTTTTTGGTTTTGGTTCCGTTGAGCTTGAGTGTTCAAATGTTGGACCCTCAAATTGATCTGAATATTACCAGGAGATTTCGTATGTCAACTTGTCCCATATTCTATATAAACATTTGATTTGATGATCCTTGTGCTATAAACCAAGAGGTTCCTAATGCAGTGAATCTTCTTTTGAAGGTACCTTGCATGCATGCTATTAGCCTTCCTTTTTAAAGAGAATATATTTCTATATGCACCACACCAAATTTTTCAACAGTGACTTCATATTATATAATTTACAAAAATTCATTTTACAAAATAGGAATATTTTCTGCTTTCCAAACCCCTTATACTTCTCTTATAGAATTTTATTTTTTTTAATTTTTTAAATTAAATTTAATTTTTTTAAAAGATTTTATTTATTTATTTGACACAGAGAGAGAGACAGCGAGAGAGGGAACACAAGCAGGGGGAGTAGGAGAGGGTGAAGCAGGCTTCCCGCCGAGCAGGGAGCACAATGTGGGGCTCGATCCCAGAACCCTGAGACCATGACCTGAGCTGAAGGCAGATGCTTAACAACTGAGCTACCCAGGCGCCCCTTGTATAGAATTTTAATATGACTAATTATTTTGGATATATCCTGGAGTTAGATGATTTTTATCAAGCATGAAATATTGCTGTTGAAACTTAATAGTTTTTCTATGGTCTTTCTAAGCATGAGGAAAAGTGATAATCAGGTTATATAATATTATGTATATATTATATATCTAGAAAATTTTTAAGGAGTCTTTTGGTTGTATAATTTTGTGAATTATTTAATGCTTTGGTCTGCCTTTTTTTTTTTAAGATTTTATTTATATTAGAGAGAGAGAGTGCATGGTGGGGGAGAGGGACAAGCGGACTTGGCACTGAGAGCAGAGCACCATGTGGGGCTCGATCCCACAACCTTGAGATCATGACCTGAGCCAAAATCAAGAGGTTTAACTGATTGAGCCACCCAGGTGCCCCCTTGGTCTGGCATTTTTTTAAAAAACATTTAGTGCTACATGTATATAATTTAAAAAACTATATTACAAAATATATTACAGAAATATTATATCATCATTGTGTAAGGATTGAACTAAACAAGAAAATTAAATCATCTATGATCATTCCTCTTAGCTATGAAATCCTTAAAAGAACCATGTACACTCACTGATCCTGATTTACCTCCCATTCACTCTTGAATTCTCTCTAGTAATTTTCACTCCCACTACTCCAGAATTGATTTTTCAAAGGTTACCACTGATTTTCACTTGAATAAATCTAGACATAATTTCTTAGATCTCATTTTATTTGACCTATCAGCAATATTTGACCCAATGGAGAACTCTCTTCTCCAAAATTCTGTCTTCATTTAGCTTTCAGGGTATCACTCACTCACCTGGTTTTCCCCCTGCCTTTCTAGTCTGTACATCTCAGCCTGATTTGCTTCTTTCTCTTCATCCCCCACCTCTTACTTACACATTGACATCTTCCAGGAATCAGTCCTTGATTTTTTTCTCTTGACTTTTACTATCTTGTATATTCTAATGATCTTCAGGTTTATATCTCCAGCCCAAATCTCTCTGCATAATTCCAGACCTACATATCAAACTGCCTATTTGATAGCTCTTTGGGATAGCTATTGGGTATTATGAACTTAACATGTCCAAAATCGAACTACTGATATTCTTATACCTGCCCTTCTTGTCTTTCCTAATTGAGTTCATCATAGTTCTTCCAGTTGCTCTGCCAGAAAACTTGGTAAGATTCTCCTGTGATTTACTCATCCTTTTCTTCCTGGTATAGAGAGGGAGACACTTACAAAAGGAGATATCCTTTATAAATGTAAATTTCTCTTACAAAAGAGTAACTTCTACTTTGTTTTCAGAACTTCTCCTGTATCTGCAGTTCTCGAAATAATTAGCTCAAAATAATCCTGTGTCAAAGAGGCGTGTTTTGGGGTGCCATATTCTGCTACCCTTCAAGTGGGTGTTCACAAGAGAGGTCCAGGCTGGCTGTATCAATTTGGGAGTAATTAGCACAAAGATGGATGTAGGGGTGGAGGATCTGAAGAGGAAAAGAGTGAAGCAATGTTTTCCTTATTTAAAATTGAACAGTACACCATAGTGAAAGTTTAGCACACCTAACACCATTTTCTTTGACTAATTGGTTAATAAGCATTTGTTAGGATAGACTATTCTAGGATCCAGTGAGAAGTGTCATTGCATTCTATTAATAAATATTCAAGGGTCTGTTTTCTATACTAAATTTACATGTTAATTTTGTATCTAGTTTATTTAAAAAACATAATTGTCATTTTTCCAAGACTATTTTATGCATAACAACTAAACCATTATTCAGAAATCAAATTGCTGAGACTATAAATAAGGCCTGTGTAGGAACCACTTAGCTAATTTGTTGTGATGTGGATTTCCATTCTAGGCAAGGAGGTTGCCATTTAAAATCAGAGACATTTGGAATTTGACAGGAAACTGAAGAATGAACCTTCGTGTTTCACTTAGATTCTGAATGAGCCAGATCTTTCTGAGTCAGTTATACAAAAATTTAAGACTCAAGGGACCTTAGAGCCCTGAGTCTATTCTCCCTAGGGATGGAGAATTGGGATCTGTCCCTTCGGGCTTATGATTTTAGAAGAATTCTTTCCTCTTTTCAAACCCCAGTTTCTGTATCTTTGAAACAAGAAACCCAGTCTCTTTTATGAGATTATTGGGAGGAAGACCTGAAGGGAAAATGCGTGTCTTAGTGCATACATCTTAACAAACCACATGGGACTAGTTAAGCACTCAATAAATAGTGCTTAATATAATTTTTAAACACTCTGTAGGAGGTATCTATAAAATTTTTGGACTTGATTTTAAAGCATTGTATTGTAGTGTTATAGTATTACGATACCAGAAGGAATAACTGAAAACATTCCAAGTTTTTAAGTCATATCTGGAAAATGTATGTATTTGGGTGTTTTTTTTTACACTTTTCTTTTTCAGCGTTATTGAGATGTAATTGACATGTAACATATATTCATAATAGCTACCCACATTCCATAAACCTACTGCCCACAATAGATTTTTTTGCTTAAAATGGAAAAGAAAGAACATACATGTTCAAGCTTAATGAAAAATGAAGCTGAATAGTTAAAAGGAGCTGCTTGGCACCGAGGAGGGTAAAGGATTGTATTTCTAGACAGGGAGGATGAAGCATGAGGTCTGTTAAATGTACAGTGTTGTAGAATATAAAGAAACAGGTTAAGTGACCATTTGTATTTATTATGATGACCTAGCACTCAAGATCTAGACAGGAGGCAGAAACCTCGCCAGTATTGAAATGGGGGAATATTTCCTGTTCCTTATTAAATATTAAGAAGTATTTAAACAAAAAGCATTTTTAACTAGTAAAAGGGAGTAAAAGTGGTAAAAGAAGACTCTAAGCAGTCTTGTAATAGCAAACGCAAAATGGAGCTGTGATCCCAAAGGCAGAGGAAGAGTAAACACGAAAGGAAGTAAGAACTTAGAAGACCCTCACTCCCCCTCACTCCCACCACCATCCAAGGCGGAGATTAAGACCTCTTGGGAGAGGACACAGCTGGTGGCAAAGAAACTTGTCAGAGGGTGCTGGCCAGAGCTGGTCCATGGGGATGACTTGTTGAGTGGCTGGCTGAAAGATGCAGGCCGACTGAGGTTCTTCACCCTGCTGGGAGATCCAAATCTTCATTCCTGAAAGGTTCTGAGTTCTCAAAAATAACTTTCCTGGGACTCCTGGCTGGCTCATTCGGTGGAGCATGGGACTCTTGATCTTGGGATTGTGAGTTTGAGCCCCATATTGGGTGCTGAGGTTACTTAAAAATAAAATCTTTAAAAATAAATAAGTAAATAAATAACTTTCCCTCTACCCTTCAGGTTCTTGGCTGAGACTCCCTGTAATAAAACATTAACAGGAGAAAACCAAAGAGAAGTTTAATAATGTGTATACCTCCTGTATACACAGAAGAT